TAAGACATTATATATATATATATATATATATATATATATATATATATATATATATGACATGTGGGACTAGGTATTAATAATATCATAAGTAACTATTGTATGAATTAGTAGCTATTATGATACATTAGTTATAGATGATTTGATGATAGTAGTAGTAGGCTATCCTAGCGTAGCAGGTACGAGTAGCAGTGGAGCGCGCCGTGGCGACACGAGCGCATGCAGCAGCAGCCAGCAGCGGCTAGCATCGGAGTGTGGGTAGCGGTCATTATTGTCTCGCCACGTAGGTACACGGCTCCCCACGTAATGAAGCGAATCCGTCGTCCTTGTCTTACCGTCGCCACGTGCGCGCGGCCTCTCCGCGTCAGGGGTATCCAATGGCAAGTACTCCTACCTCCTTCTCCTTCCTCTGCTTCCGCTGCTGCTGCGACTATTAATCTACTGCTAGAACTCGATGTTGCGACGTTGGGTGATCTATGGCTTCGATCGTTACTCCACCGGAGTATAGCACTACAGCCACGCATGGATGCATGCATCTGTCCACGAAGGATCATTTCGGGTGCATCTTAAGGACCCTTAGAATCACTGGAACGGAAAAAAAAAGGAAGAATAGAAAAAAATATAACTCTAATAGGAACGTAAATAAAACAGAAACTAAGAGAAAAATATAGGAGGACTAACCATTTAATTGGGCCACAGAAAAATCACATAGATTTGACTTTTGAGAAAAGACAAGGAATCAAATGATTCTTTCTATAAGGTTCTATCTCATGTTAAAATCCCTCCAAAACTTGCATGGAAAGAGGTATTCTATAGGTATTTTATATGATTCATTCTTTTAATTTAAAAGACTATATAGAAAAAAAATAATTTAGGAATAAAATCCCCTAAAATTTCTATGAATTTTATTGAATTAGAAGGCTATATAGGAATTAGGGGCGGAGGCAGCTATGGACCTATGACAGATCGGGGCATTGGGCTCGAGCCCGAAGTTTACCTTCATAATCATGCTTAAATCCTTGTGAGCTACCATGTATTTTTTTTAAGAAAATCAATATCCAATTATTGAAGTCTTACTCAAACTCTAGGTTTCGCCACTATTTTATCCCCTACTTTAACAAATATCAATTTATTTGTCCTACACTTTACCAAACTTTAATACATTGATTTCTCGAGAAAATGAAGTCTTGTGCAACAAATGGGACAGGAAAGATAAAATCATTTTGAGACGGAGAGAGCACGTGAGGCAAATAGGAGGGCAAAACCGAGTGTTTCCATGTTTTTTAAGCAGTACTGCATCTATTTTAAAATTTAAGCAATTCTAAACTCTTTAGAAAACAAATAAGTTGGAGAGAAAATATTCTCATTTACAGTCGCTTTAGTGCTTAAATTCCTTTATCGTCGATTTTATTGGCCAGAAATATATAGATTTTCGTACATTGAACTTAATACTCTAGTATATATGTTTATACGTATTACTATAGTAGTAGTGTACACACTTTAAATCCTAAAAATATGGGAGTATTTTGGAGCATTTTGAAACAAGCTACTCCACTAAATTATAAATATATTATTTTCAGTACAGAGGTATAGTATGAGTAGTTTCTTTCAACCGTGCAGTACAGTATTTCATGAAGCATCATATCATATCATGCTCTAAAGAGCGGCGAATATTGGGTGGTACTAGTACTAAGCTACTCCCTCCGTCTTAAAAAAACAAATTCTAAATTTTCGTGTCCAATATTTAACTGTCCGTCTTATATAATTTGTTTTATAATTAGTATTTTCATTGTTGTTAGATGATAACATATGATTAATACTTTATACGTGACTTGTCTTTTTAATTTTTTTATTAATTTTTTTAAATAAGACGAACGGTTATACGTTGGATATAAAAACCTAGGTTTGTTTTTTTACGGAGAGAGTAGCGGTGCTGTACATATACCTAAATTGCATCGACGTCATGACATGACCTGCGTCGTACCGGAATGATGCAACTTTGGAGATTCCCTTCAATGGCTGACTCGATGTGTACATTTTTTGGTCCCATGCCACCTTTGGCATCCGGTAAACAATGAGACAATCAGACAACTAAACAAAGGGAGATTTTTCTGCCTGCTCGATCGACATACTACTTGGATTCTACTGTATGTTGATAGACTCGAGTGTTCAAAAAGACAAAGTACGTAGAATCAGCAATGAAAGGATTTGACCGTGTGCCGAGAGAACTTATAATTACTGTATTCCAATTACTCCAGTTCTTATTACCTTCATCCTCAGCTATATATTCCCCTCTTTGGATGCGGTCGCTCCTGCAATGGGCACCGTATTCTCCTGCAAATCCTGTAGCGTACGTGTACGTAATGCCAGTATATCAGCCCCAGCTGCTTGAAGTGCAGTTGCAGAAGCTGTCAAGTATTATACGCGAATACGCGATACGCAGTCCTCTCCCTGGACCAGCTGAAGCCTGAAAGAGCCTGAATAATGGAACAAACTGGCCTGTACGTACACTCATGTTGATCCGCTCCTTGTCGCAAGCTTGTTTGTTCGGTCCGAACACGCATAGATTTTAGTCTTCTTCTCATCGACTTTGGCTTAAATTTCTCCAGAAATTAAAAACCAAATCACAAATCACGGCGCAAAATGGCCCTCTCCCTCCATGCATAAGGTTGCATATCCCATCCATCTCGAGCTGGGCGCAAGTTTGCAACCGCTAGCTGTTGAGAGTGTTGACTCTGTTGGCCACTGGTTGCGGCCGGGCCCTACCATTCTCTGAACTCTTTTGTTAGCTTTTGTTTGTTCCCAGTTTAAAAGTGGCATAATCTTTCAGAGTTTTTAGGCTGGGCCGGCCCCCCCCGTGCGCACAAAGGCCACCCTTTTCAGCTTCGCTTCGTATACCGGAGAAGGCAGCTGTATATTGCCACTGTTATCTGTACACACAGGCCACAGTTGCTAGCTTTCGACTTGTGTTTTTACAGCTAAACACTGGTTCATGCCCCCTGCTACGTGTGTCAGCTGCTGCAGGCTTTGTATATGTGGGTATTGGAATCCAATGCAGCCAACGGTAACTAGTACACCCCTTTTTTTTTTTATGTTTTACTACTACAGCATGCATGACTTGCATTTAGTAAAAAGGTCAGGTGATTAGGGAGGAAACTACCATGGGAAAAGACTGATCGCCTTTTAGCCGTGGAGTATACGATTTTTGTTCGTACTAGGGCAATACAACGCCAGTGAATGCGACATTGGCTACTGCACCTCGAAGCGTACATCCATACAGCGATACGATAACGAAATGCCATAACTCTATACGTAGTACGTGCCTACGCCATTTTCTGCACTGCGCAATTGCAGCAGTATACAGGAGTAGTACGTACTACACTCCTGCAGGCCCTGCTACTGCTACGTTTTGCTCTAAAAAAAAAGGCACAAAAAGAAACACGAGAGCATCTTGGCACTGTATATTCTCGGCCGCGGGACACTCAACCCCGCCAAAATTTCGAAATCTCCCGCCGAAGTTTCGCGCCAAGAAGCAGCCGCCGCCGCCGCCACCACCACCGCGCGGTGCAGTGGCACGTGTGGCGCCGGAAAGGTCGAGGCAAAGTGGTCAAACCCCCCCACTCATGTCACCCCCCACCACTCACCAACTGCGCCACGTCTCCTCGCCGCTCCACCGTCACTGACCAAGTGGGCCACCCACCCCACCTCCGCGACCATGCTGGGTGGTGTGGGGGTAGCGTTTCGTGTCCGTCTCGGGTGGCACCACCCGCCGTCAGTGCGCCCGGTCGGTCGGGGCCCCTTCGCCACGCAACGCGCCCGAAACCGCTCGAGAAGCTCGAAGAAATAAAACAAACCCCGCCGCGTCGTCGTCGTCCGGCGTGCGCGTTTTCCTCAGCATCCAACGGGAAAAAAACGTCGAAACACACGTACGCTAGCCAGTGCCGTGGTGCGGTGCACGGCCGCTGCGATTCCGCGGACGAACCGAAGGGTAGAGGGTTAGACGGGATGATTTCGCGTCGGCGTGCGTGGGATTCAGGGGCGCCGTCGTGCCGGCGCCCGTGTCCGTGGCTGTGGCGGAAAATTGATGGCGCCGGATGGGGGATGGCCCCTCCAATCACGCACGGAATCCGCTGCCACCCACACACAAATACGGCCGCGATTGATAGGAGGGCCATCATGAAGGAGCGGCAGGTTGTTGCAGGGCATGGCCCCGTGCAAAAACACAGCCAAACAACGAGCTGCACACGGGTCGGCCTCGCTGCAGGGCAACTGCTTCTGCCTCGAACCACTAGCTCGGCTGCTTTGAGCAGATATACATGATGCAGATCCGTGTAACGCTACGGGCGACATGACCAGCAGCGAGATTTTCGTCACCAGATGATGGGTATCGTCGTGGCAGATGGATCATCCTCGCATCCATTTACTACTACTACTGGCGAAATGGTCCTGGATTTCTTATACGGCTTTGCAAGGATCAAGAAAAACAGCAGCGTCCGGCCGGCGGCCAACACGCATTCCTACTACTCTGAGTCGTGTCCGTGGGCCTGAATCGTGTGTAGTACTACTCCAGTCGAGCGAATGGGCGAAGCAGAGCTCTATAATGCGTCGTGGTACTGAACATTTTTGTAGAGTGAAGGCGACAAGCAAAGGAGAAGTGAAGGGCATCAATGTATCATTATCATAACATTTTGTTGCCATTCTGCGATGCGATGCAACTGGCTCTGGAGATCCCGCATCATTATCGTCTGAAGCGGAATTGATTAAACCTGCAGCGTAAGTGACGCAAGGCATTCAGAGTTTCAGAGTCGTATGCTTTGGGTTTGTCGCTTTGTTTACTAAAATTGCCAGCGAGTACTGAGTACGAGTTGTAGTACAGCATCATTGTTCAAGATATAGCCGGTCAGATCTGGACCGCAGAAATGCAGAAATGTATTTTTGTCACGGCAAAATCTACCTCTCCAAGGTAACCAATACAAATGGCATCTTGAATATGGGCCGTGAAATTCGGTCCAGAAGGGGCCTTTTGGGCTGAAATTGCTCAGTTTTGGGCCTGAAAAGTTCAAATTACCCCGCTTCTTCTGTTCTCCGAGAAAACCCAAGCGAAGAGGGCGACGTCGAGGTCGTCGTCCTCGACGGCTTCGCCGGCCGCGCAAACCGCCGAACACCTCGCCTTCGCGCGACCAAGGCGGCCTCTCGCTGTCGCCTCGCCTCCCTCCCCGACGACTCCGCCGCGTCCCCGTCAAAAAACAGCATCCACCGCCGCCATCTCCGCAATGGTGGCCGCGTCGCCGCTGGCTCCTCCTCGCGATGGCCCTCCCCTGCGCCTTCCTCTCCGCCGCCGCCGCCGCCAACGCCACCTCCTTCTCGTCGTCGCCGGAATCCAGGCGATGCCGTTCAGTACACCGCGTTCCCTCCCGACCAAGGCCTCCCCTCGCGCCGCCGGCCCGTGTGATGGGCAAGGGTAATAGCAAGAGGAAGGCGGCGAACACCCGGCTGTGGATGCGGCTGGATCGGCGGGGCGGGTGCGAGATGATCCTGTGCGATAAGTCCTTCGTCGCCCGCCGCTCCGGCTTGCCGGCGCGCGACCTCCGCGTCCTCAGCCCCCTCCTCTCCCGCTCCCCCAGCATCCTCGGTGAGCTGCTGCTGTAAATTTTTTTATCCCTCCTAGTGCGATTGATCTATCCATTATTCGAGACCATGTAGATGAAGATTCGCATTGGAATTTTGGTTTTGATTTTGCAGCGAGGGAGAAGGCTATGGTAATCAATCTGGAATTTGTTAGAGCAATCGTAACTGCTGATGAGGTGCTGGTGCTGGAACCTCTTGCTCAAGAGGTTCTCCCTTTCGTTGAGAAATTAAGGAAGCATTTCCCACTGAAAAGTCTGGATGTTGATGATGTCTCTACCCATATGCATACGGAAAACCAAGATGGCGAACTTGCTCAAGATGTTTCCTGTTATGAGGTAGAAGGGGCCAACCATGAGCTTCCATTTGAGTTTCAGGTTTTGGATTTCGCCCTAGAAGCAGTGTGCTTGTCGTACAACTCCACCATATCTGACCTTAACAGGAGTGCCATTGCTGTGCTGGATGATCTGATGAAGAGTGTCAGCACTAGGAATCTTGAGCGCGTCTGGAGCCTGAAAAGCAGCCTCACTCGCTTGCTTGCAAGTGTGCAGAAGGTATCATTACTTCATTAGAATGTACATCTTTGATCCGTTGATATCTCTCAAGTATCACTCACATCCTTTTGTTCATTTCTACTAACAAACGGTACACCATTTGCTTAGCTATCTTAGTCTGAATTTCTGAACAATAGTATATGCAATACGTATGGTGTCAATAACAAAGCACGTTTAGATCTTCAAAAGGCCTGCAAACATAAATCCAATTATCATTTATTGTATATAGTTCTGTAATTTTTCTCATACTTCACAAAGCTCATCCATCTCATTTAACCTACTTTTTCTTCAAAATGATATCGCCTTTCAAAAATTCCAGGTCAGAGATGAAGTAGAGCATATTTTGGATGATAATGAAGCTATGGCACATCTGTGTACAGCAAGGAAAACAAAAGGACAGAAGGATTTATTGAACACCATTTTATTTCCAGAAACAAGACTCTGTAGAACACACTCTAGTATTGAGAACAGTACTGGCATTCGTACATGTGTTCCTTCGGATAGCGATGCTCATATCTTAGATATGTTATTGGAAGCCTATTTCAAGCAGCTTGATGGGATTCGCAACAGAATTTTCTTGGTTAGTTCTTTTCTTTCCCTTGCATTATAGTATTTGGTTAGAGGGACATAATTCTTATGGTAGTTCCCATATATCATAAATCACGCTGATCGTGCAAAGAATTCTCCTTTGTAAATTTCACAGGTTCGGCAGTATATTGTTGACACAGAAGATTATATCAGCATCCAACTTGACAACAAACGGAATGAACTCCTAGGGCTCCAGCTTACCCTGATCATCGCATCCTTTGGCATAGCCATCAACACCTTCATAGCTGCGGCTTTTGCGATGAACATCCCTCACCGTGGGTATCATTTCGTTATTGGAGTACCCTTTGGACAATTTGTTGGAGCCACCTCATTTTTATGCATGTCGATTGTCATACTGTTGTTCACATATGCCTGGAGGAACAGGTTGCTCTGCACTTGAGCTAGCACAACCTCAGAGTAATCAACAAGAGCCTCACCTCTCACCTGTGACACTGATTAGTATTCTTCTTCAGGATGCCTTAGAATTCCTGTTCTATTTGTGCTTCAGAAGTTCAGAATACCTCACCAACTGCTTCTCAATGTGGAAACGTGCAATCCATGAGTTATATATATTTCCTAATTTCCGACAATGTAAAACAAGTTGCACTTACTCTTATTTCATGTGAAGGGGAATCATTGTTATTTATATAGGAATGGTCCATATTCTGAATTTCCAAACTCCTATATTGGGCCTATTTCGCTACCATATTCGACGTGGGACCCATGTAGGTTGTTGTATTCTGCAGCTCCGTTTACCATGGAGTAGCGGAACAGGATCATTTGACTTAACTACTGTGTAGTTGAGCCACTGACATGTGAGTTATAGACTCATAGTAAAGTTGGATCCACGTGTCAATGACTCAAGGGGTCTGCCTCCCTCCATTCTCCAATCGCCGATGCCGGCCGAGCTCCGTCGGCGAGGTACGTAAGGCAGTTTCAAATATTCGATGTGTGATTCTGCTTATCGGACCCTGTGCAACTGATCATGTCTCGGTCAAATTGACAGTGCCCAGCACACAATTATCAGCGCAACACGATGGAATTCGTTGTCGTCAATACACAATCCAACACCAGGTCTACATTATTGTCAACATTCGCAGGGTGAAAAGAAACAAAGGGAAAACAAGAGAGAGAAAACTCTCTCTGTGTTTCATTTCTCTTCGATGTGTGTAACAGGGATGCCTCTGAGAGCTAATCACAGAGAAGCAAACCCCAGATGTTGTGGCTGAGGATTAGAAGCTGAGCCCGAGCTGTAGCCCGAAGGCTGCGTGGATTAGAAACAGGGTCATGATGCCGCTGCCGAGGAGTCCATGTGCATTTCTCAGCGAAGGATTACCCTGAAAAAGAACACAATGAGTTAGACATACTGTTTCTGGCAGAATACTGAATCTTGCATGTTTTGAAAGCAAGTACTGAACTGAAAATTGTAATCTGAAGTTACCTCGAACAATGTCGGCAGGATAGACTGAATGGTAAGGAGTGCAAGGCCGATGATGCCGGTCACAGCATGCGGACTGCAAAGCCATTGCCAATGAAAGATCAGAAGGTAATTCAACCTAGTGTTACCTAGTGCCTGGAGCCCTGAACTCTCACTGATCAAACTTAACCTTCTGAATTCTGAGAGAGAAATCAGTAGAGTACCTCTCAAAGATTGGTTTGTCTGACGTGAGAAGAGCGGTGACTCCACCAGTGGCGCCAGCTGCGAAGAAGAAGAACATGCCGGCGAGGAGCTTCGGGTGGAGGTCCTTGGCCTTGGCCTTCTCTTCCTGAATGTATTCATGTGACACCATTCAGTCCAATCTTGTGATGCAAAATTCAGCACAATTGTAGTAGAAGGCAGTGCTACTTACAGGGTCATCCGATAGCTTGATCCTGAAGCCCAGGTATGTTCCGTAGCCACCCATTGCAAAGAGCACCACGGCCTGAAAAATTCAGAGAAATGAGTGGGTGATCAGCGGAGAGATTTCCCTCATGGCGAGCAAGAGAATGCAGGGAGTCCACCATGTTGCCGGGGTGGCCCCAGTGCACGAGCCAGCCGGGGAGGCCCCACGTCTTGACCAGCTCGACGAACGGCTCGAACACGGCGCGCACCGGCTCGGCCCCCGGCAGCAGCGCCGCCAGCAGGAGCGGGCACGGCGCCAGCGAGTAGAGCCGCGTCGTCGTCTGGCCGTCACCCGGCTGCTGCTGCTGCTGCACCCGCTCCCGCGGAGGTGGAGTGGCAGCGACAGCCGGAGGAGACCGCGTAGTAGCTCGCAGCGCTGCCCGGCGCGGCGTAGGTGGCACCGCGCCCGCGGGACGACGAGGCCCGCGCGGAGTCCTCGTCGACGAGGCGTGCGGGCGCAGGACGGCGGCGTAGCTCGCCATTGTCACGGCTACCCCCATGCCTCCTCCCTGTAGGCTGTTCACCGTCTACTACTCGTCAGTGTGGCCGTCGTGTGAGATGGAAAGTGAGCGAGGATAAAGTTGGGGAAGGCGAGAAAGGGGTAGGAGACGGAGGAGCGTGGAGGGAGGCAGGCCAAGTGAGGACGCATGATGCAAATGGGTTTTTCTTTTCTTTCCTTTGGTTTCATGGGTACTACTTCGTACTAACAAATGGTTGGTGGTGACCTATCGGGAACCAACCACCGTTGTTACGCTTAAACTTAAAGTTCATAATTTAAGCCTAAGCGAATATAGAACTGTATTTGACTCTCCAGTGAATTGTCACTTCTAGAACTCTAGGATAGTTATGTTTTTGGAGAGATTAACTATATTTAGCGGTGATGAGCATCAGAACAAAACATTGTTAGTACAATGTCTAAATAGTGTACTCTCTTGAAACAATTGAAATGACCATATGGTACACTGCAAACAATTGAAAAAAAAGGGCACATCAGCATGCCAAAACTGCATAAAAAAACAGATATCAAATCATTTCTAACTCCCATTTGGCTCAGCAACAAGCCAACCAAAACTGCATCACAGAATAATGCAGATATCGAATCATTTCCAACTCCCATTTGGCTCAGCAACAAACCAACGTGGCACTTAGTCACTTACCCTGATATTCTTCTTCAAGGGGGGCTCTTCAAGGTGTACAATCGACACCGAATAGTTTCTGAAGCAGCAAAACAGTAAATCTATTGTTTCCAGTACAAAACTCTCTGTATTTTCAATTCTCGGGATGAAGTCGGCTGGTGGTAGGGTTCCACAAAACTAAGACCAACTCCAAGACAACAACGTTTCTTCGGCCAAGACACTTACAAAACGGGCATAAAATGGTGGAGCTTTCGTAAGTATGGCTAGGATGCACACGGGCAAGAAGTATCTAACACTTGTACAGGAGGTGATAATCAAGGCTTCAAGGCTATGGCCACGCCGAATCTTGAAGGCGAACTCACCACTTTGGGATCATACTCGGCAGAAATACTTACAGTAGACTTGGGCCTCCACTCATGCTGACAGAGAACTCCAACTTTGCCACCATTGCTAAATCTTGTCTTCAGCAACGTCGAAGAATCAATAGCATGAGAGCTCCCGATGGTGAAATAGTTCTCTTTTGTTTTTAACTTGTGCGTTACTTCAGCCGCCACTGTAGCTCCATTGGTTTCATTGAACGTGTGGATATAAGAAGCTTTTAAAGTCTCCCCTTTATCAGCCCTGTGTGGTAACAATTGTAGAAACTATTTATCAGTGCATGGGTAAAGGTGATGTTGCTTAGGGACAATATGCAGAAGACAAATACAGGAAGACATAAGAACAACATATTGCATATAAATTGTACAGATACCAGCACATTATATTGTGTTGCTGCCCTGGTACGTACAAATAGTGCTATTGCGTGCTGTTTTAACTATAGGTAGCAGTCAAGTTCATCACCTTTAGAGCATCCACTTTGGAAGCTCAAAATATCAATCATGACCAAAACTTATGTTCATTCATGTTATATTTCAAGAATTATAGGAAAAAAATATGGGTTAACTTCAGTAAGTGCAAATCAACGATGTAACTGAGTACGATATTGGAACAATGCACGTGCATAGCGCAGACTGTTGTATGCTTAAGCAAAGCAGAAACTCGGGAAACTTACAATAGTACGGCAGCAGAAAAATCATGTTTGTTATAGCAGATCCCTGAGTTGTACTTAGTAACAGAAGCTGAAGTGCTGTCGAATCCAACCTCAGCACCAGCACTAAGTTCATTCGTGCCGATAGTTGCTGCCAGCTCAATTAAAGGCGTTGATGTCAAACCAATGGTAGAATTCAGTGCAAAATGGTCATGAAGGTATTGCAAATCAAGCTGCCAATGAGAAAAGACTAAGCATTAGCACAGTAGAACATTCAGAAAGGCAAATATTACAGAAAACTACAAGACAAAAATATTGGTTATAAGCCATCAGGGGATTGGTAAACACAATGTCAGGACAAGTTGGATATGGTTCAACTAAATTAGCTGAAACACCACTGAATTTCTATGTTTGAGGGAAAAAAATGATATTCTTCCACCATATCAGAATATACCAACCTTCCCGGACTTTTGATCAGGAACCCTGAAGCTAAAAGAAGTCTTCAGACCAGTAAGGGCTTCATCAACAGTGACTGTGGTTGACACCTGTAAACAGAATGACTGTAGTGAGATACAGGTATACAGGACGTACAGCCCTGAGATGACAAACTAGAAACAGATTAAGCAAAACGTGGCACTGAACGAGTATTATGGATGCACAAGTGCAGAAGTCTATATTTCTAAAATACCATACTAAAATCCAATGGCTAATTAAGTCCGTAGCAATGTATGTTGCTTCATATATGTCTAAATACCATACTGAAATCCAATGGCTAATTAAGTCCGTAGCAATGAATGTTGCTTCATATATGTCTAAATACCATACTGAAATCCAATGGCTAATTAAGTCAGTAGCAACGTATGTTTCTTCATACCATCTTCTATACATGCAACTTAGCTCCATATCATACGGCATAACTTTTTGATGGCATGATATGTAATAATAAATACCAAAAAATAGCACCGATTGTTCAACAAAACAATAGCTAATGCTACACAAGTAAAGTCAGGCTTTACAAATATAGCTAAACTAGAGAGCCAAACACAGGGAACTTACTCTAGATTCACTATCAATCTTGACATCAACAGTGGTTTTGCCACTTTTATGTTGTGTCTGTATGTCACCGATGAAGAGTTCGTCTATCTTCACACCGGTGGCTGTTAGACCCTATTAATAAAAGTAGAAGCTGTGAGCATGGTATCTTCACAAATTTCTGGTAGGGATTAAACCATGAACAGAAGGAGTGAAACCCTTACCAAACCAGAATTGCTAGTTGTCGTTAAAGAAAACTTTTGGTCAAAATTGTAGTCCTTGTACAAAAGATCTATATGGTATAACAAGCAAATATGTTAGTGGAAAGTGTGAGTCGTTTAAGACAACACGAAAATCAGAGCGAAAAGGTAAATAACAAAGAAAACCATGTAAAAAATAAAATTTATCTGCACTTGCCAAACCACATCAGAATATCAGATATAAAAAGACAAAGATGAAAGATTGAGGTAAATCAATAGATGTGTTCAGGTAAGCAATAAGCATCCCAGCCTATAGAATATTCAGTGATATTTAGGTCTCCGTCAGAATTGAGCTGCTGTTTCTTTATGCATGATCCATACATGTGGATGAACAATGACAATATACAATATACAGTGACAGTTCTCTATGGTATTAAATGTCAAATTATTGTAATAATTAAATGAAATCTGCGAGTATGACGCATCGAATGATGATCACATAAATCCTGTGATACCCAGCAAAGTCATTTGACCTCACTGGATTCCAAGTTGTGCCAAAAGTATCACATACAGACAGTACACAGCAGCATAAAAGAGATACTAAGAAAACACACACTGCTTCTAATAATTTTTTTTAAGACAACAAAGTTAAACTACCAAACAAAATTTGACCCGCAAAATGCACAAAGTGGCACGAAGCGAGACGGAAAATAAACTACAGTCTTCCGAGACATAGACACTGCTTGCCTTTTGCTCTCTTCCCAATGTTGAGGAACGGAGCTGGGCCTTTGCTCATCCTTGCCTAACGAAGTGATTCTGCCTCTTACCTGCAAAGGAAAAGCACAAACATATTATCGGTATCTTCCCAACACAAGAGAAACCAAGGGATGATGTAATCCCCAACGTGGGGGCATTGAACCCGCAGAAATCTATGGAAAATAAACCCCCGGAAAATTGCTTTTAGACTCAGGTCAAAGGCGAAAAGAAAAGCATCCAGATCTAGAGGGCAAGCTAAAGGTTGGGGACAAAGAGAGAAGGCGTGGGTAGAGGGAGACGGGGACAAGGATGCCGCGTACGGGTGCTCACCGGCGAGGATGCGGGCGGAAGCAGCAGGACGCCGGCGCCGCTGCGGCTGCGCTGGTCGGCGCAGGGCGGCGGGCGAACACGCGAGGAGACGAGGAGACGGGAGTGGAAGCCGAGAGAGAGAGGAGAACGTAGGGAAGTCAGAGGCCAATTAACGTGGGCTGTTTGGCGATATGGGCTTCTTGTACAGCCCGGTATCTGACCACAGTCTGAATCGAGTACGGCCCGGCTGAAAAAAAGAATTACTACATGAAACTGTAATGATATTATTATTAGGCACTCGTTGTTGCAAAAATAATAAAAAATACTAAAAAAATTAGGCACTCCTGTTAACAGATCAATGGCACAACCAATTCGATTCGAACAGAGACGTTAGTTAGGGATGAATAGAGTTAATTTTGGAGGGGAAAATTCATTGTAGTCTATTATGCAGCATTGTTGTTTAAACTTTAAACCATGAAAATACAAATATACAACTTTTATTTTTGTTACTTATTTATTTTACTACTACTACGTTTCAAAATATAATAAATTTTGGGAAACGGTAGTACTACTATTTTTTCAACAGTAGCTAAACCAATCGTAGCGATAACATAGGTCTTCTAGATTTAGATGTGTTTAGTTCACGCCAAAATTGGAAGTTTGGTTAAAATTGAAACGATGTAATGGAAAAGTTAGAAGTTTATGTGTAGGAAAATTTTGATGTGATGGAAAAGTTGAAAGTTTAAAGAAAAAGTTTGGAACTAAACTCGGCCCTGCATAGAAAGCTGTAGGACAGCTAGTAGAGAGTAGAGACGGGTGAAGCAAAAGATAAATCGTCCTTTGCCATAAGCTTTTGGCAGAGTTGTTTGTGTTTCGCTCTCAGAATTCATCACCAACGAAGTCATGCTGAATCGCTGATTGCTGAATACAGTTACTAGAAAAATTTGTACAGCAGGAGGAGAACAGAAAGATGCAATAAGGTTTGTCTAGCTGCATGAAGACCAGGTTTAATATAACGCTCTGTCAACCTTTCATATCTCACATAACCAATGTAAGCAATTTACAGATGGTCAACAACAGTGCAAGGGTTATCTGCAATGCACATGGACATTTGAACACTGCATTTTGCTGTACCATATGGAAAGGAAAGTCTCAAAGTCGCCTTGCGGAAAGAAAATTCGCAGACAATCCAATGATAATCAGCTTAGGCTGTGTTTAGTTCACGCTAAAATTGAAAGTTTGGTTGAAATTGAAACGATGTGACGAAAAAGTTGGAAGTTTGTGTGTAAGAAAGTTTTGATGTGATGGAAAAGTTGGAAGTTTGAAGAAAAACTTTGGATCTAAACACGGAATTAGATTTGAAGCAGCCGAATCAGGCAACCAAACATGTACTATTAGCCTGCTTACTCTCAAGGGCATTTGGGGTGAAAAATTTAAGACATGAATGTGATTACAAAATATGCACGCCATGCGAAAGGATCATTATGCAATAGAACATTGGGTACAGAAACAGCGAAGTGACAAAGCATAAATGAGAACCAAAAAAGGAGAGAAACGTACAACTGGGTTATCAACAAACAAAGCATTCTGATATATCATTACGTTGTACCTGTTCAACTATGACAGCGTTTGGGAAGATATACCAATACATCAAAAGGATAGTTTGCTTTGTCACATGATCCATTGACACATAGGGTAGTTTTCAGCAGCAAATGACATTTCGCAATTCTCATTCACATGAATATTTCTCTTCTAGTTTGACAGTAGCTGGCAATTTTGAACTCATGAATGACAAGAAGGATAAATCAGGCATGCCTCGACACATTTGTTGGTACAGGGGCATTTGCAAAAGGATGGATGCAATCACAAAAGGCCCAAACAGAAAATGCCGTTCGTGTAGGATAATGTTAAGTATTTTCTTCTCATAGAATTTTAGATACACAGCTTTAATGATCTAAACAGTGCGTGCTTTTCATTTCCAACAAACAAATTCAGCTAGAAGCCAAAAGAGTTACCTATGTAACTGTACAAAAGGTCAAGAGTGGTACAATGAAAAGCTCAGGTGAAAGAGATAAGAAATAACTAAACAAGTGTGTATTGACCTTGAAATTTTCTTCAGGATTGATACAGGCTCCAATCCAGGTCAGGTTGTGAAAAAACTTCATAATCTGTTGGACCATCTACAAAGCTATTAACTGTCTGCATCCCTTCCAACAAGGATGGCTGGAAGCGATCACTTCTAGAGGGCAGCAATTTATAAAAGACTAACAAACTAAGAGTACATATTGCCTGTAGCTTCATAGGATCACCTTGGACTGCAAAGAATAGTAACATTGCAACAAGGAAGAAAATAACGCAGAATTGCATGATGCAGATCACCATGTCCATCAGCTTCCCATCATTGCCTGCAGGAAACCCTCTAACTCTGTAGATAAACAGGAAATTGTACTTGTCCACAAGGTATCGGTAGCCAAAGTATACTGCGCCGACAGGAACTGTCAGAGGAGCAAACAGTGAGTAGATCATTGTGAGCGCGAATATTGTAATGTCAAATGCATAGTATTGTGCAAAGTCAAATGTCTGCTTTGGCATATGGAAGCTCCTGTTTATCGGGTACAATGAAAGATCATGCTCCTCAATACCATTCAGAATGCCACTGTCTTCTCTCTCAGACATTAGAGGCGCTCTCAAATTATTTGTTTCTTCGCCATCATGCATCAGTTGGTAGTCCTCATTTTCTTCAGGGACCAACTGGACCATATCATTCTTTCTAAATTTCTTCATTACATGCTTTATCCAAGGGATTGGAGCCAACAGATCAAAGGATATTCCTAGAAAGGTGCATGTGATCAAGAATGCCAGGGAGGAGAGTGAAGATCTTGACAAAAAAGAGGGGCTTAAGTATTGTTCAATCTGCTTGCAATCAACACTGTCTAGGTAGCACCGGCCCATACTGAGTATCCAACTTTCAAGCGATGATTCCACCAGCGCACGCAGTAGAATGAGATTAACAAGGAAGAAGCAAACCATCTTCAACAATGCAGCCCTCTGCTCTCCCGACACTGTCAGATGACACTCAAACTTGGAGAAGTAAGACAGCACTGATGGGATGATAATATACATGCTCACAAAAATGAGGACGTTGGGAAGAAACTGAAAGATAATGGTCCAGAACCAGCTAGAGCTTTGGAGCCAGACAAGCCATGATTTGGCGTTATCCATAGCCTCCACATTGATGATCCGCGCTGCACTTTGCATCCCACTAATTATTGCCAATGGTGAACTGAAGAACAAGAGCATCAGAATGAGGCAGGTGTTGACTGCAATACGCCGCAATCCTAGTGAGGTCTTGCTCAGCCCTAGATGGTTCCAGTAGATATCTGATGCCGGTGGTGCCCTTTCCACAGTCCAACGGCTTCTCTCAAGCTGGAGCTCCATCACCGGGAAGAACCTCCCTATTGGTGTCTTCTTCCTTTCCATCCGGAAATCTCTCACAGCCTTGTTTGCTGTATACACGTCCTTAAAAACCACAAAGGCTATGCCAGCACCGGGAGCACGCCCATCCTTATAATCCGATAACCTGCTACCGAGGACAAGTTTCTTTGTCTGCAACCTCCTTAGCATTTCCTCGTCAGTAAACCCGAACCTCTCTGCTGTCATCACCCACAGCTCTTTGCATCTCCTCACAATCCAATGCTCTTCTGAATGTCTTCCACCCTGAGCAAATTCATCAAATAGGTTGCGGGCATCCATCCTTGCCTCCAGCCAAGAAATCCTGTTCCGCACCTTCCCCCACTCCTCAGCTAGATACTCCAGCGTGCAGAGATCGAAGGGCACGATGACCCGGTACACCTTTCCAGGGTACTTGTGCTCAAAGTAATCCTTGAGCGGGGTCTTGTCTGCGGCGAGCGTCTTGGGAATGCCCTGGATCATGATGGTGAAGACGGCAACCGAGCTGGAGTTGGGGTCGCTGGGGTTGCCGTTGCCGTCGCGGAAGCGGGTGATGCGAAGGGCGTCCTCCATGCGGGAGATGCCGAGATGGGCGATGGCGACGACGGCGGCGGTGAGGAGGAGATGGAGCCAGAGGAGCGGGGATGACTTGGGGATGTGGGAGATGGTGGTGGCGGCGAACTGGTCGGCGATGGCGGCGTCCCCGGCGAGGAGGTTGAGCGGGAGGGCGGCGGCGACGGCGGCGGCGGCCACGGCGGCGAGCACGAGGAAGGAGGCGCGCTCGAAGAGGAGGAACTGGGCGGCGTCGGCCCCGCAGTGGAGCGCGATCTGCGGCGCGGTGGCGTGGTAGACGGCGAGGAGCTTGGCGGCGAGCGCGGAGGGCCCCGGGATGCGGCGGTGGTCGAAGCGGAGCTTGACGAGGAGGAAGAGGAGCACGCAGGAGGCGGCCCCCACCGCGGAGATGTTGACCAGGTACTGGATGCTGCCGTACCACGCCTCCGGCTCCCCGCCGCCGGCGTCCGGCGGCGGCGCGGTCGGCCCCATCGCCGGGGGACGGGGACGTGACGAAACCCTAGGTTCGGGCCGCGAAATATGCCGACGAGATGCCCCGGTTCACCGCGGTTCGTGGCGTGGCGTGGCGGGGTGGGGGTGGGGCTAGATCACGCGAGGTCGGGGGCGAGACGTGACGTGTCGCGGTGCGCGCTGCCGCACACCAGCGTCGGGATCTGACGCTGGAAGGTGGGGACACGCCTCGTCTTTTTCTCGGTGGATACTTCGGTTTTTCCGGGAAGAAAGTGGGGAAAGTAATTATTAAGAGGAAAGTAACTTGAAGTTTAGGCGCAAAAACTTTGTTTGCAAGGTGATTTGGAATCGTATGATCAGCGCATCGGTCCACGGACTTTTTGATTGCTTTCTTTAGTGATCCTTTGCGTGTTGGGGGTAGGGTGAGAAGCCATAGGTTTTGTCATAATAATTTTTAGCCTTTTAAATTTATCGTAAAATATAATAATTTCTTCACTTGCATTCTCTTCTTAATCAATCGTTACATTCTCTTCTTAATTAATCGTCATATCATAATAGATTGTGTCCAACCCTTAAATTCATTATATATTAAGATCGATATAGTATATCTTACTATGCAAATAGCTCCAAATTTATGGGACAATGAAATAAATTACTCCCATGTTTTTAATTAACTGAAAACAGATACAGTTCACTTTTAAGCATAGACCATTCGTCTTCTCTCTCTTTTTTCAAAATGTTAGCGAACAATAAAATGTCATGACATTCAGGTGTATCATGTCATAAATGTTCACTTTAATCTAACCTTTTAAGAGTAATTGGTGATTACACTTCAAATAGTAAAGTCAAAGTTGTCGATTACAAAATTTCAAGCCCATGATAGGTCAAGATCTGCACGCACGCCCCTAGATGATCAACACTATATTACAAGCTAAATAGACGGAGGATAATAATAATTTCATAAATCTTAGTCCTATTAATGCTTAAACATTAGTTAGTGGGAGAGGTTTGTTGACGATGCTTCTTGTTCTTTTTATATATACTGGAGGTTCAAAACTCAAAAGCATCGATGATGGAATCTGATTCTTTTATCTAATCTGTGGTGTACGTTATAGATGAGTATACCTATCTAAGCCAACTTTTTGTTGTTCCTCCATGCAAATGCTTTTGTTTCTAGAGGACACGATCTCTTTTTTAGGAGCTTGACAGATCATTTGGATAAGGATAGTCACTTAAAATAGTGTTCAGACTTTTTCAAGAAGAATACTGAAGTACATATGTCTTGGGACCATAGGATTCTAAATTCCAACAGTATTACACTAATGAATTCTTTGGATAGTAACAGACCAAGTCATCTAAGTAAACCTTAACAACACACATTAATAAAAGATTAAATAAGCAACACACGAAAAACAACAGCAGAAATACACCATGTGCTATGATGACCCATTCTATAACTTCTACCATGAAAACAAATCATTTACTCCTTTTACTCTGAGTAACTGACATGTGAACCCAACAGCTCATAGGCTATTATATCAACAATCCACGTTAGAGAATAATATGTTAGAAAATCTTTTTCCCTCCAACTACTTAGTCCATAGCCTCACTTGTCCAACCATCTCAAAAGGTTATTGTGCACTTTGACAAAAGGGATAATTACCAAATGTCAATGTTGAGTAGTGGAGTTAAAAAGGAGGTCCCAACTTATCCATTTTTGTCCAAGTCAGAAATGAGAATGATCTCACCCATGTCCATTAGATAAAAAAAGTTTAAAACCATTTTACTAGAATCTTTATCCAAAACAAAATGGCAGCCTCCAAAAAAAAAAAGCCCCCAAAATTGTGTCCGGAAACCGGCCAAATCACCCTTAAAAAAATCTTAACGCCAGCGTCCGCGAGCACCAGAAGCCGACGCACACAGCCGCAGCAGCAGCAGTCGCGCACACACGAGCCACGAAGACGATGGCCACGGCCACGGCGCTCTCCCTGAGCGGCGGCGGGGGCGGGGGCTGCGGCGGCAGGTACCCCGCCACGGTGGCGCGGCGGTGCTGCTGCGCCGTCCCGCGGTCGCGGCGGGGTCCCGCGCCGCGGCGGCGCCTGGGCCTGGCGGCGTCCAGGGCGGACGACTCGTCGCCCGCGCCGTTCGAGATGACGCTGGAGGGCGCGCTGAAGCTGCTGGGCGTCGCCGAGGGCGCATCCTTCGACGACATCATGCGCGCCAAGAACGCCGTCCTCGCATCCTGCAAGGACGACCAGGACGCCGTCGCGCAGGTCGGGTGAATCTTCTTTCCCCCCTCTCTCACTCCTTCCATCTGTTCGTTCGTGTTCGCGTTCGCCTTTGCTTGGACCCAAGCAAAGGGAGATTTGTGCTGTATCCTTGGTGTCTCTCCAATTGAGTTGCTAACTTGCCATGAGAAGCGGCCTTAATCATCCGATAATGCAAGAAACGGTGTGAATTGGTGTGATACGTCTTGCCTTCAAGCCCCAAAGCGATCTTTTGGGGGTAATTACTTATTTAATATAGTGAATAAAGTGGAGACTTTAGCATGATCCTTAATTGGAACAGTTTGCTGATGATTGGTTGATCCTAGTTTCGACACGACTTGGGAGTTGTTAAAATAATATATAGCTTGGATATGCAGTACGCAAGTGTTTGTTTTCTATCCATGGTGATGGCTACCATATGTATACAAGTATACTGCCATTCTTGGACTAGTAAGTTGCTTCATAGGAAAGAGAGGAGTGTACACTTCTTACTTTTGTTTCTTCAGTTAAGTTCCAACTGCTCAACTTGTTTACGTATCTTATATTTACTCATCTTAATATGAATTTGCGATGTTCCTAGCCTTTCTTCTTCCATTGAACTAGTTGCAACCATTTCTTGTTTTTTTGTGCAAGTCATGCTCTTGACAAGTACCTTTGCTTGTGGCTGTTACTCATGTCCCTGTGCATTGCCTGAACGTCTGTTTCAAGAAATTTTCACAGGCAGGGCAGTAACTTATAAAGAAAGAGAAGCCGCTAAATTGTTGGCAGCATCTATTATAGTCTTATGGTTGCTCTAACACGTGATCAAACACCTGATATTGACTACATTTTCTATGCCATGTTTGACTTCATTTCTTTGTTTCATTTCAGGTTGAGGCTGCCTATGACATGCTGCTTATGCAGAGCTTATCACAGCGAAGGGCTGGCAAGGTTGTTGATAACAGCATCCGCTATGCTGACGTCAAACCTGTAAAAAGTGCAGGTTCAGGCACAGTACCACAGTGGATGCAAGCAACCATGAAGAACGCACCCGTGACATTTGAGGCTCCATCTTCGAGCAGCTTGGGTATCCAATCATGCGTTTATGGTGCACTGATGGTTTTCACTTATGCTAGTGGAAGCGCTACATCTTTACCATCAACATACACTAGCCCTGATGTGCCTGGATTTATCTTAGCAACAGGATTTGGTGCTTCATTGTATTTCCTGACAAAGAAAAATATGAACTTAGGTAAATTATTCCGACACCTTCTTTTGTTTCCCAATACTTATATTATCTGACAATTTATGTTCAATACATTTGAGCATGTTGTCAATTTCTGTGCAGCACTGCTTTAAATCCTGGTCAGTTTATGCGAGAAAAGCATAGAGGCACTAATCTAAACTAGTTTTGAGGTTACGAAGTCTCCTGTATCATGTCAATCGTATCATTAAACGTTTTGGTAAAGCTAGCTCTGTTCATGCCCGAGCAATGGTTGTTTAAAATTTTAAAAATAAAGCAACACTATTCTTATCATATTTGTAGGCTCTATTTAGCTTTCTTTGAGCAATCTTGAATTCTTGCCATGATATGATAGTTTCTTAAGAAATATTGCTTTGTATGTATTTGATTGTTTGCTTGGTTGCTTTAATGGGTAAAACAAGATGCATGGAATGTAAGGTGTAGTTCACTGGAGATATTTTTTAAGGCAGATAAATAGAGATAAGAGGTTTCACTAATCATGTGCTAAGATTGGCCCTTGGTCCTGTGCCATTTTAATTCTTGTTGGCATTAACGATGATTAAGCAGAGATCACTTGCCTCTTGTTGTGCAGCCAAAATGGTAGATTGCATCGTTCTCATAATTGAAAGATAGTAAATTCAGTATATATTAGCTAGGTTACAGGAGTTCCCAATAAACACATGAGAAGCCATGTCAAATATGCTTATATGCTGCATCTTCATTTTGCCTGACAAGTTGACAACTGTCTTGAATTATTATTTCTTCACATTATATTGAATATGTGGACCAATTTTGGTCTTCAGGTCAACGTAGATATTGGTTCAGACTTCAGAGAGATACATAGGCCGTGTTTAGTTCACCCTCAACTACCCCAAACTTCCAACTTTCCATCACATCACATCATATCCAAAACTTTCCTACACACATAAACTTCCAACTTTTTTTTCCAAACTTCCAACTTTTTTCAGGAACTAAACACAGCCTGTACTCTGGTGAAAGTACAAACTCATTTCTTCAGTTACTGTAGTAACAAATGTATGGGATTTAACTCTAGTTGTGTTGGCACCCTTTTGAGTGAAAAATACTAAGTCAAGACGGAATTGTTCCAAAGATGAATGTGCCTATAGATCCTCAATTGCACGCAGTTGTAGGCTTTTAAACATGTCAAATGAGCATGCTTAGATATCCACCATCCATCCTTACCATTGTAGGGCATAGTCTTGCAGTTAAATTGACCTGATCTTGCAGCTGTTTGATCTCTGTACTACCTTTGGTCTTGAATTGCTTGTTCACATCGAATTGCACGTCGGGGGGGGGGGGGGGGGGATATCTGGCTTACATAAATATACAAACTTCTTAGCCACTTTTGTGCTTCTTATGGCATTGCTTACCTGTGGGAGGAAATCTGGTCCAGTACCCTGATTACTTCTCTTCTTGTGCCAACCTTCCTGCTTCGATTCAGAATGGCATAAGCGTTTTTGTGGTCCTTCGTGCAGGTAAAGCGGCATTGATTACTGTTGGGGGTCTTGCGGTCGGTGCGACAGTCGGATCTGCTGTGGAGAATTGGCTACAGGTTGATGTTGTGCCCTTTCTAGGCGTTCACTCCCCTGCTGTTGTTGTCAGTGAATTTATTCTGTTCTCCCAATTGTTGGTCTCGCTGTTTGTTAGATAGGATTAAAAACAAGTTGTCAGCCTGGCCTGTAATTAACCGAGATGAGCTAGCTCCGAAAAAGTCACGAAAATGCATCTTTCTCCTGAAGATGCCAGCAGCTGTGTATAGCAAACAATACATCGACGTCACTATCCTTTATACTTTAAAGATAACTTGTATCTAGTCTCTTTTCAGTCCAAATCTTGCTCTTCCTTACTGAAATTGATTGTGGAGCGTGTGGGTTGTGAGTTTCACTGTTTGACAGCAAAGTGGACTATTGATCCTTACAAGTGGTGAAGGGGGGCCACTGTGCTGATTGAAGATCTTGCAATCTGACCAACCTTGGCATCAAACTTCGTATGCAGCTGCAGTTCTTTCAGTAGGTTGAACCTGCAAAATGTATTCTTTAGTTTATCAGAATTTCTGTCATCCAAGGATGGCCCAATATTCGTGGTGAAATTGGCAGATGCCACATGCCAGTATTTGGATTGCTTTGCATCTAGTCACTGATGACATCTGAATGTGGATGCTTACAGGGGTTGGATTATTTGTTGTAGAACTCTAGTTTCCTTACCACCAACACAAACCTTATGAATGGTTTGGCAACATTCTAGATATCATGTATATATTCTACACTGTTTGTTGCAGTTTTTTTGTGCTATTACCAATTGAAGAAGTTTGGTCAGGTAATTTGAGTTTCTTAAAAACGAAGCTTGTGTGCCACTGTTTTTCCTAACCCCAATTGAGCAATGCTCTCCATCTCTTATTACTGGTGTGCCGACCTCCAGCAGAGAGAGCCTTCAAGCTCACAAATCTTTCTGCTAATGTCCATTTCATCTTTCATGTCAGTAAAATGATGCTGATAGCTGTCTCCGATAAATAGATCAAATCAGAACCTGGCCAACAACCCAGTGGTCAAGTCACAGATATTTAAACCGCAGTTGCTGTTCAGTTGTACCAGGTTGTGAGAGCAACCTGGAACAGATCATTTTATAATTTTGATCTTAGCAATAACAAGTGAAGTCAAGCACCAAGTACCCAACATTAAAACTTTTAGCAATGCCTTCATTATCAACACGAAAAAAGGGGATATGATGGACTATTACGAAAAAGGTGTTCTGGGCAATTTACAACCACCTGTTCTCTCGTGGGTAAGAGAAAGGATAAGAATAAAGAAGGAAAAAGAAAAAGAAAAGAAAAAAAAGATTGCGTTGCTAAGGAATAATCTAATCTTATACCTCGCTATCAGTACACTAATTACCAGGTGGGGTCTAAACAGTTTCATAAGAGCAACACAGAAGGAGTACAGTACAGTTGATAACGGCAGCTGCTTTCACCTCCATCTGTGTTACTGTAGATGTTCATGTTCTTTGCAGTATAGCTCCTTCAATAGGTGCTGCTTAACACCGTGGGAGTTGAGAAAGGCGCAAGGGAATTTGCAGGGAGGGTGACACCACCCCCTCTCAGGGAAACAGAAGGACCTCGGCTCCAGTTTGCTTTGCTTATGGCATTCGAATCAAGAAACACCACAATGACGGTTATATCGTCGTGGAAATGACGCCTCACGCCACGATCAATTTTCTTGAGGTCTGAGTATCTCATCTCCCTCTTCTTGGCTGCTTCTTGCATTGCGACTTTAACTAGTCTTCGAGCAATCCCCTGGTGAAAAGGAAAATCCATGTTTTTTAAAGGAAAAAAAGGAAATAACAAGTCATTCTGAAAATTGGCATGCAGTTTGACAACAAACAGCAGTATAGAAATGGCACACAGCTCAAGTTATGTTTAATTAACTAAGATGCACTGCACTAGAGAGTATAATGATGTGAAGGAGAACATACATTACGAGGATTATTTTGGACAAGGTCAACTGCTTCCTGATTACTGAGGTGCTCCCATAGACCATCAGAAGCAAATATAACAAAATGATCATTTGGTTGTATTTGGTGTACAGCAATTGCAGGTTCAGAACTAAGAATCGGCCTTTTGAAGGTTTCCCGAAGTCGAAACTTGCTGTGAAGAGGTTCTCTGTTATATTCTGGTCTTTTTAGATATACATCGCCAATAGATCTTGAGATCTGCAGAATTCATCTTTGCTCATAAATTCTTTTTTTATAGAAAACAGTAGGAGAGTATCCTGCTGTGTGTGTAAATAATATTTACAAGTTCATAAATTGAATTGTGTGTGTAAACCAATCGGATATGACAAAAAAAATAAATAAAGAGGGGCATGTATTCCTGCAGAATGCATCGACTTTTCTTTTACTTAAGCGTAAAGCATAAAATTAAGCTCGTATGGTTGTATGGAAGGACAACAATATATCAGTAATCACTAATCCCCACCAAGTTATATCTTAACTTTTACATTTATAACTTTTTTTTGTGCTGTAGGAAGCATGTTACATTCTGATGACGCAACTGTAATGGGTGCAGATAACTTTATATGTGTGAGGGGGCTTACCTAATACCTAACATATGAGAAATAATGCAAATATAAAAGTATTTGCCTATACCCTACAATGAGAAAAGTGGAATTATGGTGAGAGCAACAGATGATGTCAAAAGTGTGCAAACTTTCAAACAAATTAATTATCCAAATTGTAGATTCTAGAGTGGCAAATTAGCAAATTGATCTTTCTGTCTCTCACAGACTCACAGCAAAGAAGTTTGGTTACCTGGATGAGGCCCTTGACACGCCAAACATTGTGTTTTAGGACAACAATTTGTGGATCATCAGGATGTGATGCCTGCAATTCTTGTCTAACTTCCTCATAGCACGCGTTGTGTTCTGATGATAGCTGCGTTGCCACAACTTCCCCAGTGGACTTGACAAATCTCCCAAGAACAGCACGCGAATCTCCAAGGTTCGCAACATAGAGAGTCCCTGAGCAAATAACACCAACTAGGCAGCAAGATCCTACTGCTGCAATCTGAGGCTTCAAGGACCATTGCTTACTGACTAGAGAAAGGAAGCCCTCCTCAGTTGCTTGGAAAGCTTTCCGAATCACATCGGTTGACATGCACTTGTGCTCAGTTGCAAATCCTGAAAAGGAAATAATTTGTCATAAACTGAGGCAGATAACAAAGACTTGATAATAATGCAAGTATACAAAGCAAATCTACTGAGCATCTAATCAATTTTCTTCTGCAAGCAATGAGTACCAGGCACTAGCATCTTCATACCTCTTCGAGCTAAAAAAAAATACTAGCATCATCATACTCATTTTCATAAAAGAAAAGGTAACATATGATCAAAGTAACAAGCAAAAGGTAGTATATTTTATAATTGCATCATCATCAGTGCCTCCAAATTCCAAAAACTTCAAAGGGAAGGAAGTATAACATAGGAGCCTTACTCCTGAGATGGTGGAACATGTGGTCATTGATGAACCGCGCCGTCTCCGGGCCGCCGTGGCCATCATAGACGCCGATGAAGGTGCCCTGAGGGCCGGGCTCGGCCATGGAGAGCGCGCCGGACTCCACCTGGCTCTGGTCCTCCAGCAGGTTGTTGGCCTGAACCACAGCCATGGAGAACTCCCCGGTGACCAGCTGGCCGGCGTCCTTATACCACAGGAGCCCGTCTTGCCGGCCGGCGACGTCGGAGCCCCTGACCCGGTGACCGGCCGGAGATCGCGGGCCCCAGCAGGACCTGAAGTAGTCCATCACCGCGGCCAGCATCCTTCATCTCACACTCTCCTCCTCCTCCACGCAGTTTCTTGATGGCATCACGAGACACAAGCTATCTCTCTTATCTCCACCGTATTGCTCAACTTATTCCACCTACTATCTGCAATTCAGAGCCAAAAAAAAAAAACAATCAATAAGAGTTAGATCAACTTGAGCACACGAACTTGGGATAACAGGTAGTAGGGATCAAGAATCCGCACTTCATCCCAATAACTCGTATCACGCGGCATCATCCGAGAATTAGATCATGCAAGGGCAATCGAAGCCACTGATCGGATTAAGGGAAAGCAAGACATGTGCAGGGTTTAATTTTAGCTTTGCAATTTGGCAATGGTGGATGAGGAAGGAAGGGAAGGAAAAAAAAAAGGTCTCACCTTTTCGCAGCAAACGAGAGTTTGTGCTCGGATTCTTGGAATCTATCGGGCAAGTGCCGCAGATCTGGACAGCTATCAAACCCAGGCACACGAACAGCAAGGATTGTGCCTCAACTGGTGGCTGCTCTCCGGGATCGAAGAGAATCAAGCAAGAAATTTGTACCCCCAAAAAAAAAATACTTTTTTCCCTATAGCCCTCCTCTCCTTTGCTCTCTCTCAGTAGCTCTGCCAAATCTTGAAGACTTGTTGAAGAAACAGCTCAGAGGTGTCCTCTCTCTCTCTCTCTCTCTCTCTCTCTCTCTCTCTCTCTCTCTCTCTCTCTCATGCAGAGAACTCCACGCCCAGGTGAGCACAAGCACAAATCCAAGGAGACAAAAAACCCATTAAAAGAAGCAGCAAGAGAGAGCTCAGGGCCAGCAAGGCAGGGCTCAGAGATGGGCTCTACCAATCCTAAATTGTTGTGTTGTGTGACTGGTGGTGGCCGGTGTAGGGTTAATCAGTAGTATCCCCTTCACTCACCTAAGCAAAGGAAAGCACCTTTTATAATGGCCTCATTTCGCTTGCGTATAAAATGGTCTTCTTAGTTTTCGATAATGACCCATCTATTTTATGTTGATTTGCATTTGCATAACACTACACTTTACTTTACTCTTTTTTGTTGCCATTAGTCTTCCCCTGGAATATTGATCAGCTTTTATTTTCCCTCGTCATATTATTCTTCGGGACATCTCTTTTATGTACAAGTACAACCAAGAATATCACCAGGAAAAATTAGCACTGGATGATGAGAAGACGTTTTATACCAATTCAAAAGCGATAAATATATTGTTTTTATATGGACAAAAAAGTCAAATACCGTTTGTGCGTTCATCACTCATCAGTACCTGTGAAACTTTCTTGCGTCTGTTTAAAAAGTTAAAGGACTAAAATTCCTATTTATCATAAATATGACTATTATCTCAAGAATTGTCATGTATTGTACTACCATTTAAACATCAACATCAAGGACTAGTTCTTGTATATAAGAATATAACTGAATTTTGGTTAACAATCATAATATCTATATTGTACTGTTAAAACATGTGAATTAAAGAGCCCATGTGTTACTCTCAAGGAAATTATCAAATCAATCTATAAAGGACATATGGAGAGAAAGTTAAAGAGTGTAAGCTTCACTTTAGATATTTGTGTGAGGAATTTAACTAGTTTTTGAATTGCACGATGATCAATGATGAGCCAGAGACGCCGTAGAGCATAGACAACTAATAACGTTTTTAGATGACCGATACCTTTGATCCAAACATTCACGACAGCCAGCAAGCAGTACACAACGATGGAGCCTGAGCAGCCATTTGAGGAGATGACTCTACTGCTGACAATGATGAAATCGTAGAGAGGCCAAACAACATTACATTCTGGCACAAGCGAATATATGTTTTGGGGACTAAAGTTCAATTTAAAAGGGCTGAATGGATAATGAATTATCTGATTTTGTGATAATATTTAAGGGTGTAAACGAATGATTAACTATTTAAAGCCGAAATGTTATTTTAAAGATATTCTAAACAATTTATATATAGAAAGTTTTTTTTAAAAAAAATGAACTTGAGAAGTGTGTCCATAATAATGCATATAATCTGTAGAAGAAAAGGAATGGGGCCTAACTGAGATGGGTCGGACTGGGTTGTGCGGTCCATATCTCGTTTTCTTTTGATGCTATTTGCGTTTAAGAGCTGTAGAAAAATAGCTAAAAACAAGCAAATCTATTTCCAAACAGAGTGTTCTACGTTCACACAGGTTGTGTGATCTGTTGAGATTTGAGAGCCAACCCTAACCTCTCCCTTTGTCAGTTGCTAAGGTTTTGTTTGTACGTAATGATTAGCTAGACCATACTCATTATTTCAGTGTGTTCATGGAACCAAAATGGGAGTACGGCCATATGTAGGGTAACAAATTCAAGTCGAAATGGCCCATATGTACGGCCATATTTCAGTCTTTTCTTCGTCCATGAACTATGGTTGTGTTTAGTTCCACGTTAAAATTAAAAGTTTGAAGAAATTAGAACGATATGATGAAAAAGTTAGAAGTTTAAGTGTAGGAAAAATCGATGTAACGGAAAAGTTGAATGTTTGAAGAAAAAAAGCTAGAATCTAAACAGGGCCTATATTTCTTTTGTCCAATTATAGCCCGCTAAAATTTAGAAGTCGTTTAAAATGTTAAGCGAAGTGAGGAGTAAAATTGGCATATCTGATTCTAGAAGCATAGCGAGATCTGAGACGTGGCGCATAGCCTTCTGCCTGAACAAGTCCTTTTTAAGATGGAATGATGATGTTTGTAGAAGAAAAATAGTAGTACGCACTATTATTTCAGAAAACAGCAAGCACGTCACAAACACGGTAGATCTTGATCATGGAGCTTTTCAATCATTTCAAGCTATGGCTGTGTTTAGATCCAAAGTTCGGATCCAAACTTCAGTTCTTTTTCATCACATCAACCTGTCATACACACACAACTTTTCAGTCACATCATCTCCAATTTCAACCAAAATCTAAATTTTGCGCTGAACTAAACACAACCTATGTTTGCATGTGGTTCCTTAAGTTCTGTATTTTTTGGATTTCACTTGATTCTCTTACGCAACCGAAATTTGGTACTACCTCTATCCTAAAATATAGACATTTTCTATATGAGTATGGGTATTTAAAAAAAATTGATAAAAATGATTGTAGAAATGTTTACAGTGATTGGTTGAGAAAAGTAAATAAGTTAGGTAATTAAATGGAGAATAATTGTGATTGGCTAAGAGGAGAAGTGAATGAAAAAATAGCTCTATTTTATGATCATGAAATAGCTACAATTTGGAACGGAGGAAGTAACAATAGCATAGAATTGGAAATTGCGGTGTTTGTGTATTACCAAAATACCCAAATATGAAATAAAGGTGTTGATATGGGAAACATGTGTCTGTTATGATAGTAAACCTTATCAAAAGTTTAGTCATCTTGGAGAAAGATTCAATAATAGTAGAAAAAGAAAGTCTTACCTTACCGTTCCCATATTAACGAAATAGTTGATCTTTGAATTAATTCTTGATCAGCATGCGTCATAGTTGATCAGCTGCTGCTGCATCATGTCAGCAAGATGAAGTCGCAAACAGTCAAATTGAGAACCCAACAACGATCTCCGGTTGGACCGATAGATCGAGATCGGAGAGGTAGGTATCGACGGCACGGCGAAAAGTTAGGGCGTCAAGAAGAGAGAACCGAACGAAACCAAAACCAAACCATACCAAATCCGCTGCGCGCAGCAGCAGGATTGGATTGGGTTGCGCTTGCACTCCCCCCGGCTTAGCTCCCCTCCCTCCCCACGTACAGCTCGGGTGCCGGTCTCGTGGGGGTCAAATTGCAGTGCGATTTGATGCGCGAGAGCGACCAGATTAGGTCACGGCAAAACGCCACGGACGTGGTCCTCCTCCTCCTCCACCACCACCACCAACGCCTCCGCCCCCACCCCCGCAACACCGCACCGGTGCACGTACACCAGCCCGCGATGCCGTGGGTTTCGCGTTTGCGTTCGCGTTGCCGGTGCGCGTCGCTGTTCGCTGCTACTAGATCCAGTGCATCCGAGCCGAGCCGACTGGTCAACTCGTGCGATCCATCCCCCACATGATGCTACAGCCTAGCCTTGCCCGATCCACGCAACGCGGCTGCAGCACAGGTTGGGGTTTCACCCGTACTATCCCCTCCCCACCACGCCTGCCTGTTTCTTCCGTTGCTGGATACGGATCGATTCACGAATCGGGGGTGTACGCATTGCTCTCCGGTGTTTGGCGGTTCAGGAAGAGCGAATCGAGTGGCGATCCGAGCGATGCAAGGCTGGACGTGAGGACGTCGCAGAGCCAATCATTAGTTGGGAGTTGGGACGAGAGATTGAGAGCAAGTTTAATATTCCCTCCGTCCCAAAATAAGTATAGCTATGGTTTTTCGACAGGCTGTATGTGCCTGTCGATCGCTACCTGTTACTGGTAGCCATCTTGATCTTGTCGTCTCCGATTCGTCGAATACTGATTTTGCTCACGTGCTCTCCTCAAGATTACTCCTAGTAGTACTGTTTAGTTGCGTCGTTGCCGTAACCTCTAACAAGTGTAACCACGTATAATTACGGTTGTTTTATCTAACTCATCATGCATCGTTTTCTTTTCAGCTTACTAAAATTTAAAGTTTAGGATTTAAATTTAAGTAAATTTTATAAAACTCCATGTATTTTAATCAATCTATCACAAAACTAAATATTTGAGAACGTGTGTCACAAAACTACAACTTATGTAACCTTTATATATATGTGTGTGTGTGTGTGTGTCGAGGGGTGACCCTCTCTAGCGGGAGGCTGTGAGGCCCCTCTTTGAGAGTTCGGCCGGGGGCAGCGGGTGAGATTCGATGATTTGGTGAGCGAAACTATGTGTGATCTTGATCTTGGAGGCTCCTCCAAGACGATGAGACAAAAGATATTTATACAGGTTCGGACCGCTATGAAGCGTAATACCCTACTCCTGTGTGTATGATTCTTCTGTGCTTAGAAAGTCCCTGAATCCCTGGTATGCAAGCTAGGGTTAGACAAGCTTTGGCTCAGGGATTCTCAGTCCGATCCCCCTCCCTCACTACGCATGGTCCTCCTTTTATACTCTAAGGGGATACCACATGTGCTGCGAGTGCTACCTAGGGAGAAGGGAAAATATTCTCTATATTAATTACATGTCTTGTGCCTTAGCCCAGAAGCTATCTGCACGTCGGTTGCTGCGCGGGGCCCATCAAATCATGCAGGGCGCCCTTGTCATTCGCCATTTAATGGATGAGGACTTCCGGGTTCTCGTTCACACCAGAAAACGGGAACCCGGGTCAGTTCAGAGTGGTTGGACCAGCTCTGACCAGGGTAAGAGGCTGTGAAGCCCCTCATCATTATGATGGGACGGGACGGAGCACGCCGCTCGCCGCCTGACACACTGACAGGGCTGGGGTACACAGTAGTCGTCCCATCGGTCATTCAACCGGTCACAGACCGGTCAGATGAGCAGCACGCCGCATTAAATGTGGCATGTCGCGGTTGCATAGACTGCTTTAAATGTAGTTAGGTGGGCGTTAGACGCGCCCACCTAACCCTGTACACGTGGGCTGATACGTGGAGGGGGTCGGGGCAGCTCGACCCCAAGCGAGGGCGGTCTCCTCCTTCTAGCTTGGAGGGGGCAGCCGCCGCGCCACCCCGGGCGACCCCCCTCTGGGGGAGCCAGGTGGGTTTGGGGGGGGGGGGGCCATCCCCAAGCTGGGAGGGGGCAGCCGCCGCAACACCCCGGGCTCGACCCCCCTCGGGGAGAGCCACGTGAGTTTGAGGGTGGCCTCCTCCCTCTAGCTGGGAGGGGGTAGCCGCCGCGCCACCTCGGGCTCGACCCCCCTCGGGAGGAGCCACGTGGGTTTGGGGGCGGCCCGACTCCAAGCTGGGAGGGGGCAGCCGCCGCAACACCCC